TTTCAATCTTAAAAGATAAAAAAATAAATTATTGAAATTTTATTTTATATAAATATAATATATAAAATTTATGTGTAAATAAATCTTTTCTCTATTTAAATTATTAACAATTTGGTTAGATTTTTTTAAGAGCCGATCATACATGATGTACTATTATAATAGATTATTTTTTATCTCTTAAAAATTATAAAAAATTATTTTAAAACTATATTATTTTAATAAAGTACTATAAAAAAATAAAAATAATATAATTCATGTTTTAAAAATATGATATACTACCAATAACTTAAATAATTTAGTGATTATTTCCTCTTGCTAGATAAGAGATCCTGAATTTTAATCGTATGATATAGAGGTGAGGTGAGGTGAGATTAGAGATGAGAGATAATTATCTCTCATTGTGCAACTAAAATAAAAATATATATATATATTGTATACTAGTTTTTTAATAAAAATTTATTAAAATAATATAATTTTAAAATAATTTTTCTTCTAAAAAATAAGGCAAATAAATACATTTTTCATATTATGATTATAACATTATGATTATATTATCAGCACTTAATTTAGAGTCATTGTTTTTGTTCCGAATTACATTTTCATGATTAATCCTAGTACCTACGGATTAAAAAAATAAAAAAAAACTAACTTGTCATTATTTGAAAGAAAGATTATATAATGCGTGGTATAGTACTGTACGTAGCAATTTCATTCTTAATAGAAGCTAAAGATACATATAGGTTTTTTTTTTTACATTGGGAATTTGGAAGATGGAGATTTTTGTTATAACAGCAGATTATTTTCGAGTACAATTGTAATAAATGTCACGGATTTATTAATTAAATGTGCTGATCTACCTAGCTAAGGCAGAAAGTGTGGACGACCATATACCATAAAGGTCCACTTCACAAATGTTGCATTCGGGCATCCCTCGTCAATGTCATCATGCAAGCCCTCAGCTTCCACATAAAATTTGAAATAATTATTGTAAGAAAGTTCAGTACCAAGTTAGTTCCGCAGTCTGGAGATGGTAATAGGTCCCCACAGGGGGTGGGGACCCCCTCTCCATCCCACCAATGGTGAGTATATTGCTCCTCAAATACTCTCCTCCGTCTCAACGTCATATCATTGTTGTACCTTAGTTACAATATTAAATAAAATAATAATTAGTGAATTTATTAAAAAATATCGATAAAAAAATATTATCGAAATAGGTGTGAAACGCTTATTTACTTTAAAGCAATTCATGGTTCTGTAAAAAGTAGATTAAATGGTGCAGCAGAGATATATATATAGCATGTTGCTCATAAGATGCTACAATTTTATAGCAACACTTTATGAATATGAGTTATCCATAAAGTCACTTAGCTCAAAAACACTTTTTTTACCCAAAAATATTTAGAAGATAAAATAAGGTAAGAAAGGTTGAAGAATGTTGAGGAACTTCCTTTTTTTTTTTTCTTTTTTTTTTTGAGCAAAAGGACATGTCTTATTTATAGGACTCATGATCATGTAACTTTCATTTGTAGGTTAATAATAGGAATAAATTGGGTAATTATTATGAAATAATGTGTTTTTAAGTAAGATAATTAACCTACAATGGCTAGTTTGACCAAGTCCTTAATGGAACAATAAATTCAATTTATAAAATATATTTTTTTTATTAAAATATTTAAGTTCCAACAATTTCTTCACTATTTTAATAAAAAAATAAACCTTTCCTTTAGGCAAAGATGGATTATTATGCATAATAAAGGTAGTTAAGTTTTGAACCTTTGCTTAGTGAGTCAATAATTTTTAATCCAAAGTTAATAGTGAACTAAGTCTTGGACTATGACCCCATTGGAACATAGAAGAATCATATCACACACATAATGATTCGAATGTTGAGTTTTTCTCACAGCTAGCGCATTATGGCTTTGCGCATGATCTCGATTTTCATGGATGATCTAAAAAATTGCCCATTTAGTTTTCATAGAAACGGCCTTATTTTGACACCCATATAGGTGAAATTTGTTAAGGGTGCTCCCATAACTAAGACACCCCACTCAATGAGCTACAAATTTCATTAAGAGTATAAAACTTAACCCTCAATTCGTTATGAGATAGATGCATTCTCACCTTAGAAATAAGAACGAAAATTTTTCCATTAAATATTGATGCATTTTTCAACAACAACTTCTCTATAATTCTTTTTCCCATTCGAAACCTAATTCTTAGAATTCGAGTTGGGTAACCTCATAGGAAGTTTTACATTATTGGGCTTGAATCCATTCCCCTTGGTGAGCACTAGACCTTGGACTATGATCATAGTTTTTTCTCCAACATTTCTCTTTACCAAAGGCCTAGTTGGTGGTATAATGGGTAATAAAGAGAATTAACTCATTCTTTTTCGCACTTTTTCACATCAACCCATATGTCTACTAGCTCATAAATTCACATTCATTTTTCTCAAATTCTCAATTCATGGCACCACAATTTTGATATCAAATCGAGCTAGTGAACCACCATTTTCTTTCCATACATGTCAAAACATGTATTTAATAATTTTAACTCAAACACCATTGTACCTTGTTGTACAATAGGAATGTCCATCATAGCATATCCCTTTTATTCAAGTGCCTTATTCTTTTTCATTATACACCATTGTACCATAATTGTATAATATGAGTGCATATCACATTTGCTTTATTAAGCACCATTATATTTTATTGTATAATAGGAGTGCATATCACATTTGCTTTGTTAAGCACCATTATACCTTATTGTATAATAGGAATGCTATGTAAAATCTCAAATATCGAGCATTGGTCTCATCACTAATAACAACATTAGGGATATCATAATCCCCCACATGGGGAGAATCTCAAAGATGTGATTTCCACATATCTCATATAATTAAGTCCATGAAGAAACTCATTTACTCATAAAATTTTGTAAGAGCATATTAGCTCATCTCACATTTTATCGCCATAAATGGCTCTTGAGTCATTTAAGCTTAAAAATTTAACTTATGTTTTTGAAATATATCAACCCAAATTTCATGTCCATTTTTTCAAAATTATTGCATGGACCAAATTGGCTAGCTTTTTCCTTTGGCCTTTTCCAATTTTCAATTTGGTTCTCAAAGTTTTCACCTGTTTCATAAAAAAACTTGATAATATGGTCAATTAAATTCACAAATTTATTTATAAATTTTTTCCTTCATAGCTATTGGAAATGAAACAAATATTTACCATATGTATTAAGAGCAAACAGCTAGCTTATAACTCTTATAAATATAGCCATTATAGCATTAGTAATGGCCAAAATGCACTTTTAATCTATTAATTAAGTAGAACAAATTTAATATGTATTTAATACCAACGACTAATAACATGGAGTGCTAATTTTCATAAGAATTGTGCATAGGAGGCTACTGAATTTCACAAGAATTAGTTAAATTGCATTATTGGCAATGCATTAAAAACAAATGGCTACATCATTTTAATGTGTTCATAATCATGTCATAAGGGAAAAATTATATATAAATGCGTTTAATTAATTTTTAATATTGTAAATAAATTACACAATAAATATATTTTAGCTAAGGCTAACAATGGCCATAAATGGCCATGTCAAAACACCCAAGTCATAACCACATTCATGTTGAAATTTATTAGCTACGAGTACAACTCCTTAAAGATAGCATCATGGTATACATGTTTCACATGCTAGGTTTTTCCCTTTTTTTTTTTTTTTTGAAAAAAAAAAAAAACAACCGTTGAAAATGACTCATAAAATAAGGAGTACGGCAGTAGCAAAAAGAGCATATATTTGCATGCATTACTCAACAGCAAAAGTAAAGAAAGTATTGTATAGTATCCTCAGTTTTTTTTTTAGACTAGATTTGTATTAAGAACTCATACCTATTTGGTGCATATATATCAAGGAAAACCAGAATTTTCTATTATGCTTACAGAAGGCCTCATATATTTCACTTTTGCTTTGCATATTGAATCACCTTAAAATTGTTGTTCTTCGAACACTCGCCTCTATCTCCACATCATGTCATTGTTGTGCCTTGGTCATAAGATCAAATAAAATAATAATTAGTGAATTTATCAAGAAATATCGATAAGAAAATATCATCAAAATAGGCATGAAAAGTTTATTTATTTTAAGGCGATTCACGTCTCTGCAGAGAGTAGATTAACCAGTGCAATAGAGATATATATAGTATGTCGCCCGCAAGATGCTACAACTTTATAATAACACTCTATGAATCTACACTATCTATAAAGTTCCCTAACTCAAAAAAATCTTTCTTTACCCAAGAATATTTAGAAAATAAAATAAGATAAGAAAGATTGAAGAATGTGGAGGAACTTCCTTTTTTTTTTTGA